CGTTTTACAATGGTTTTACCATCGTTTTACAATGGTTTTACAATGGTTTTACAATCGTTTTACGAACGTTTTACCATAATTTTACAATGGTTTTACAATGGTTTTACAATCGTTTTACCATCGTTTTACAATCGTTTTACAATAGTTTTACAATGGTTTTACGATCGTTTTACCATCGTTTTACAATGGTTTTACCATCGTTTTACAATGGTTTTACAATGGTTTTACCATCGTTTTACAACCGTTTTACAATCGTTTTACGATTGTTTTACCATCGTTTTATAATGGTTTTACAATCAGTTTACAATCGTTTTACAATGGTTTTACAATCGTTTTACAACTGTTTTACAATGGTTTTACAATGGTTTTACCATCGTTTTACAATGGTTTTACAATGGTTTTGCCATCGTTTTACAATCGTTTTACAACTGTTTTACAATCGTTTTACTACTGTTTTACAATCGTTTTACAATGGTTTTACAATCGTTTTACAATCATTTTACAATGGTTTTACCATCAATTTACAATGGTTTTACCATCGTTTTACAATAGTTTTACTATCGTTTTACAATGATTTTACCATCGTTTTACAGTCGTTTTACAATCAGTTTACAATGGTTTTACAATGGTTTTACCATCGTTTTACAATTGTTTTACAATGGTTTCCCTGCTGAAAAATCCAGCCTAAACCAGCCTAGGCTGGTTTAAGCTGTTTTTTTCAGCAGGGATACAATGGTTTTACCATCGTTTTACAATGGTTTTACAATGGTTTTACAATGGTTTTACAATCGTTTTGCAATGGATTTACCATTGTTTTACAATGGTTTTACCATCGTTTTACAATCGTTTTACGAACGTTTTACCATCGTTTTACAATGGTTTTACAATGGTTTTACCATCGTTTTACAATGGTTTTACAATGGTTTCCCTGCTGAAAAATCCAGCTTAAACCAGCCTAGGCTGGTTTAAGCTGTTTTTTTAGCAGGGCTATCACAACAACAAATGCGGTTTGGAAGAAAAAAGAATAATAATACGAACCATGAGTCAACATATAGATATTCAAACATGAGAAATATTCGGTAACTTAATAATATTGTCAATTTTGTTGTGTCTACAGGTGGAGCTACATCCGTACCTGGTTCAGTCT